TACACGCTAATAACATCATGCATCATTGGCTAAAGGATAATTCGCTAGACTCTACGTGGTTATAACTCCGCAGAGAAGGATGGAGGACTACCCTAAAAGTTGTGACCTAAATTCGTGTATTCGCCCGTGGGCTAATCCGTCAAATCTTGTTTCTTATTGCTATGCAAATTTCATGTGGGAATAAGTAGAAAATCTAGCCACAAATCAAACGGTATTAGAAGCATATACATTTAATGACATAATACGCGTCGGCAAAACATGCTATTAAAGCTTTCTTTCGTTTTTTCTTATTATGGGGACATTAGCTATTTAAATAGGAATACGATGGACATAACCACTGTGTTATTTCCATTATTTTACAAACGTGAATACTGAAACCTTACATATATTTGTTGCCAACTATTCAATCACTGTATGTTCCATTTATTTTAATTAACCGAAATTAGTAGTTTGTATCTAATTTTATTTCAATTTGATTATTTGTTGATTTCTTTAATTGTCGATTTCGCCTACCATAGTTTTATCTCAGTTGAAGCTATGCTCGATCACTTTTAATATTTCGTTAACCGATTCGTCAATCTCTTTAGAATAAAATAACAGGCCGATAGTGTTGTTGTCAGAACAAATGCACTTAGTCGACTTATATTTTATTCATTCATTACAAATTGGATTTCTGAAAATGTAGATTGCAATCAAAATCAAATTAAATGACCTTTGATATGAATGTCAAAAATATATGAAGCAACTTTCAATTATTTTATAAAATTAAAGGGAACCTACGAAATAGATGGAAATTCGATTTTGCAGTAACAGAAGTGATTTTCCAATATCCAAATAAGATTTATGGCTGAAAATACGCATCGAATCATTCTTAATTCTGTAACAATATATATTCCGTAAGCATGATAGCATATACTTATGGAAGAATCCATTAATTCAGCCTCATCCCCCTTTAACTGCTAAAACACAAAGACTCTGCACAATTAGGCGATGGCTTTTCGGTTAAAATCTATTTCGTGTACCCTTAAGATGGTAAGGAAAGGAGCTTGTTTTGCTAATTATTGGCAGTTGAATAAATAAATTGCTGTAAGTGTATTTATAGACCGGTTGAAATACATAAGGGGCACAATGAAAAGATTGTTACAGTAACTTGTGTGTATATATAATATACAGTTATTATAACCAATGAGTAAGATTAAAAACAAAAGAATGAAAGAAAGCGAACGATAAATCCAGCGCAATTAGTGCTACAACGTGAGCTTAACGAATAGATCTCTTTTTTATGTTGACCTCTTCAAACATATCCCCACGCGGACGATGGTAACTTCGTTTATTCGCGGGAAGCTACCTCTTTAACACGTTTGGCGTTACGAGCTCGATAATTACGGAATTCTTTTTTCTTGCTCTCTCTCTCGCCCACAGGGAAGGATGGCGCGATTCTCTCTCTCGACGCGAGAGCACAATGGAAAATTTGCATCGGGTGGAAAAAATCGCTCTCTCTCTCTCTTTTTTCGAGTGAGTTGAGCGTTGGATGCTCGTTAGTAACAATCGACCACGTAATTGCGACAAATTGAAAGCATTAGGAAACAGAAGCGTATACGCGCGCTACGAATGAAAAGAGAATGAGAGATAGGTAGAAGCCGCGAGGTATAGTGGCGATGCCAAGTTCGATTAGAAGCTTAACTTAGCTCTCGGTTCGTTCTTTGGGTTGTAATCTAATTTGCTGTGTCTAGGGTGAGTCTAATGGCTCAGAGAAGTCGTTGTTGCTCGTCAACGACGTGAGGTCTTCTCTCGTCTAATTCATCGATGAGCAAACCTCTCTCCCTTTTATTTATACGTTTTCTCTTTCTTTTTCCCTTCATTAATCTCCTTACCTCTCTTGTAACTTTTCTCGCTGTTTGCTTTCTTTCGTTGCTGCTGCAAAAGTTTTCGTATTTTCGATACTCAACTTTTTTCCTCTTTTTTTCTTTATTTATTTATTTTAGTTTACACACCGTGCCACACTTGCGGATCGAAAATCGGCGTATACACGCGGTAAATAAAATGTTTATTATGTTATGTAAATACGACGTTTGAGCATTGATGTTTACATCAATGCTGCATAAAGTTTATCGTGAAAATTTTGTGCATTATCAAAATCAGCCGAGTATACGAAACTTTCGAAGGCACAAAAAAGCACCCTCTAAACTGATGTTTGTGTATCAGTAAAAGAAAGTTGGAATTATAAAAATCAGCGTTTAACTTGATGAGAACAACTGTATGCCGTAAAAATAGCTAATGGCTTATTGTAACTCGGTATCTTCTTTTGACGATAAAACTCTTCATGCCTATATCTCCCTCAAATGTGCCTTTTTTCCTTGTATATACGGCCAAATATGAGGAGATAACTGCACTACAAGATTTATATGTTAAATAATGCACCTGTGTCGATAAATATTACATTTTTTAGACTGCCAAAGTGTTTAAAAGCAGTTTAATTATCTTATAACCCAATTTCATTTTTCAACCAAAGAATAATGAAAACTTATTATCAGTAAAAAATATGTATGTTTGATAAGCTAAATTAGAGCGTATCCTTCAGTATTAATTATTTTCAACCTATAAAATTAATATAACACTTTATGTTATGTAATATTTAACGATCAAACAAAAATGAAGTGTAGAAGCATTATAACATATGTATACTTAATCAAACAGCTTTAAATGTACAGCTTATTAATATTTATTGTTATTCCGTGCTGTACTTTTATTCAATAATTGTATTTTGAAGTAAGTTCACGCGATAATCATTTATCTTTTACATGCGTACATCTATATGCATACAAGTAATAATACTCGAACTATAAGTCGTATAGATTCTTTCGTCATTATTTTCTGTTTTAAATATAATTAATCATAGTAAACAGCAGCAGATTCACAAACTCCTACTCGTTATTTTTTAATATATTACCAGGAAGTATATTGTAATTTTTTATTGTAATGTTATAATAATAATATTGCAATAGCTATTTGTAATCCGTTCTTGTAATTAGGTAGAAAAGTGATCCTCTTTTTTCGTCCCCTTTCGTATATGTGGATACGACCACATGGGCGGTTTAATGCGAAAACAGCAGAGCAAGCTATTTTTCGAGTGTAACAAGGGAGAAAGACACAGCAAGCTGAATTAGACGAGAAAAATTAATTAATTTCTACGTCTTGAGAGATAATGTAGTAGTAGTAGTAATAGTAGTAGAATAAGAAAAGAAAAAAAATCCAATTTAATAGGTAGTTGGAAGAAGAGTTTTCTTTTCTGAGAGCAAGAGAGAAGGAAGAAACGTCTTTTCATTACGGAAAGCTCGAATTCGTTTTTTCTTTTATTCAAAGCGTCGGCCACCGCTGCCGCTGTGTTCTAGTTACTCGCGAACTGATCTTGAACTAACGTTGTTTTTATATATATTTAATTTTCCACCTACAATACATACAATTAATTAATTGCATGAATTTCGAGAACAATAGAGAATTTTGCAATAATATTACCTCGGGAAAAAAGAGGACGAAGGAAACAAAAATATGGAGTGACAATTTCGGCAACTACACTAATTAACTTAAATATCCCAAAAGCTGCGACTCTCTATCTCTCTCAGCGACAGTTAAAAATAGACGGTCTTTTCAACGAAATGTGGGACAACGAAAAAGTTCGGCACCCCTTTCACACATATAGTCCAACAAGTCTTCACAGTGCGCATGCGTACTCGTGCGTATACATAAACGCGTGGCGCAGACTTAATAGATTAGCGGCGCTTAAAAGCCGCGTCGTATCTCTTTTGCGAGACGTCGACGGATGAAAGGGAAGTATCCTTAGCGCGTATCACAACAGTCGACTAGCCGATACTGCCGCGAAAGCTTTATTTTTTTTGCAATCGACACCTTCCCTTTTATCGGTATTTGATTTTTCATGGTTATTTCTCGCTTTGTAATTAAGCGCCTGCGAAACGAAGATCCATCTGGGTTGGAAGCTCGTTTTCTTTTTTTACCACCGGCGACGCATGAAAGATTTAAATGAGAATCCCCTTCCTTCCTTCAAGGAACGACTGAGAGAGGATACTTTTAATAGAAGCCGATAAGTATCTCGCCGAATCGGAGATTAATAAACGCCTTGAGGAAGATTTTAAAAAGTCTCCGCGTTATTAATGCATTTCACTTTGGTCCCTTATCAGTTATCGGCTTTTTCAGACGATCAATTTGCTACTCTCTCTCTCTCTCTCTCCCAGATCGGCGATTAAATTTTATCGGCGAGTTATATTGACGGTTTCGTTATAACGAGTTCTTTTATAATGTAATATTCAATTTCATTCCGAGTATAAATATAATAAATGATATTAGGCTGACGAAGAAATCTCGAATTAAATTAAGATTATATTGATATTGAGTCTTTAGTTGAGTATCGAATAGAGGTTGAATAGAGTTTAATTGTTACGCACAGGTCATTGAATGGTGGAAATAAATGAGACATCTCTACGACAGATTTTTATTTCTCAATTAAACGCGTTGAAAGATAGAAACCTCGTGAGAATTTATTAATAAATTTGAACGAGATCGACTCGGGATTGATTATCCACCTCCTTTGCCCCAACAAAAAATTGATCAATCGCGATCGTATAATGTGACAGATCTGATAAATTCAACGTTAAGATTTATGTAGCCATTTAGTAACAAATTGTTTACCGCCCTTTTCGTGTCTCGTGTCCAGAAAAGATGATATCTGTGAATTTATTTCATTACAGCTTTCTTGGAAAATAATTGAAATTGTATAGAAATGAGCGAACTTAATTTTCACTTCGTGTGTATGCCAGTAGGTCACCACTGCGGAACAATTACACGTTTTCGCCATCCGACCGTAAATATCAGCAATGTTACAGAAAACAGATAAGCCGCGCGAAACTCATTTCGGTCTCCCGGAAAATTACTTGCAGAAGAGCATCATTAACAAGCATCATTCGGTAGGTCTTCACATGGCTCACCTATATATCAAGAAGCAGACAAACGAAACATTGACAGCAGCAACGATGTCATGTAGCCAGTCAAACAAGATGCCTACAATCAACTTTCACAGTGAGTTACGTATACACGTTGTCACTTGATCTCAGAGCGAAACTCAACACGATCAACAGCCACGAGATAGACATAGATCACTCGCGAGGTTAAAAACTGAAAGAATATTGTGTTGGCATGGGCCCGCCTGATCACATGGTCGTTTGGCGCAGAGCGGGCCACAGCCCGCGAGACACTGTGGGAGCGGTTCGTTCCTCTCTCTTTCTCTCTCTCGCGCGCGCGCTCTCTCTCTCTCTCTTCTGCTACCACCACCACCACCACTGCCAACGCCAGCAGCAGCAGATGTAGGAGAAGGGCGCCAGCGCAGGCGCCCCCGAGGCATTGATCTCTCAGATTCCACGGCGCCAAAGATACTCATCGGCGACGAGCGCGATCTCGCGGATTCCTCCTTTCGCACGCGACTTCTTCGTTTGCAAGAGAAAAAGGGTGATAGTGAGAGAGAGAGAGAGAGAGAGTGTTATCGATTGTTTATTTTCTTTTTTTCTAATTTTTTTTCTTTCTTGCTGATAGATGAGGCTTTTACGGAATTCAATTTTTCTTTTATAGTTTCGCTCGTGAGCTGATTTCCTTTTATGGGATAAAAATTTCAAGGAGGGTTTCTTGATTTTATGTAAAACTTTCGTAGATGAAAACCAGCTTGCGAAGGAGTTGTAAAAGAGAATTGTAAATTAGTTTTTAATGAGTGACAGTTTTTGATTTTGAGTTATACAGATGAGACAAGGTTTGCCGTTTTGTTTGAACAGCGGTATTTCCAGATTTTTTATTTTACTCATGAAAGCAAAAGTTACTCAACATGTTAGAATATTTTTTCAAAATTAATCATAAATCAAAACGTTCAGGGAAGATTGTTTTAGGTATTCGTTAAATGAATGGATTGTCATCCAAAAATAAAGCAAGTTATTCCGAGCATGCTTTTTTTTTCTTTTCTTAAAGGTATGGGAAGGGGACAAGGATTCGATTTTATACAACCGCATTATCTTTGTGCGGCATTCAAAAGCATTATAGGATTTTTTGATAGAATATTTTAGATACATGGAATTTATAACATCTTGTGACGTAAAAATGTCTGCTTTTGTATATATTTAGCTGATAGAAATAAACACTTTTCAGAAGTTTTATAGTGAGATTTATCATTTCCGATATATTAAGAATAAATGAAGTTTTTTACTAATCGTATTTTTTAACACATTTTTTATACCTAAGTTTTGTAAACAATGATCATGAGTTTTCGTAAATAATGAAAATAATAAAATTTGGCGTTTATTTGCAATAATTTAATAAATATTTTTAAACGAACAATGAGTTTCATTCAGTATTTCAATGTTCTTTTTACAGATCCTAAATAATTACTCGTGAAATGCTTTTATCCTGAGAAAATGTAATTTTCAGATGTTGAAACTTTATCAAATGAATCGATCCGATAAACTTGAAGTTCTAAATTCAGGAACAGCAAGTTTTGATAAAGTTGTTAAGCTTTGACAGATACTTTCTTCAGTGATATTGCGTTTCAATTACACACCGTGCAGACACGAACGCCAAACAGAAAGAAAACTATGTGTAGAGACTTGAAAGACCTTCAAAGTTCATGTTCAATTATGCAGCCAAAAAGTTAGTCGAAGCTATCTCCTTACCGCATCGGCTGTAGTTTCAATTTTAGAAGAGCCCGGGCTCGGAAGATGAAAAGAGTGGGAGAGAGAGAGAGCGAGCGAGCGAGCGACGCACGATTGAAGGGTCCAGAGGAAAGGGCCGCTACTTTATGCAAAAATTAGATTAGATATCCGTCCGCCTTTTACGAGCGTCCTTTTTCTATCCTCTTTGCGCAGTATCCTTATTCCTTTGATGCCAATGTCTTATCTCGTTTTTCTATCGTTTCTCTTCTATCTACGAAATTCTTTGAATTTGAAACTCGTTGACGCATGACTTGTGATCGCATTACTTGTAACTGCTGAATAGCAACTCATTACTTAACGAATTCCTCACGGACTCGTTTATGTTTGCGTTGAATTTATTTTCTCATCACCTCAATTCAATTCACATGATCTTTCTCTTCTTTCGTTGATGATCCTCGTAAATGTCTTTCGGAATTTTTTTAACGCGATAGCTTTTATTTTATTATGTTTTCAGTTAGTCCTGCGCACACATTCGTTTGATACTAGGAATACGTAATTAAGAAGTATGATAGTGATATGAGCATAGTTAATGATTTTATTTGATTCTATTGAAAATTGAGTTTCCAATAGAAATTTAAATAAAGATCGTGAAATACCTATTAATATACTCTAAAACAATCATCAATGTAGATTCATTTAATTTTAAAACTATAATCTTATTAACTCACAGTCGAGACATGTGAAAGAGATAAATACAATTTAATCATCTGTGTGTATGATCTTTCAACAGATATCTACATTTTCTGAATTATTGTGCGATTCAGTCGAAAGATTCTAATTCTCATAAACGTAAAACCTTCGTAGTTATGATAATGTAAATATTGAGAGGAGGGAGAACAATTCAGGCAGATAAGTTTATGGATAGGAGAACAGTGTGTTTTGAATAAAAAAATTAGCACTAATCAGATTATATGCTAAACTGACGGTGTGAAGTGCCCATCAATTTTCAGCTCACGGATATTAGGAATAACATACGCGCGTATCTTAAAAAACGATGTTCTTCAGAAAGTCCGAGGTGATCAGACTTTCGTTGAATCGAACTGCGAGGAAAAAGAACCCTCTTTTCAAAATAGTCGAGAGAGAGTGGTAACCGAGTGGCTCGTGCGTCGATCGACGAACAAGGACCCAGTGTGAATTTTCACATATGTGAACTGCGATTAATAGAAAAAGTGGAGTTTATATCTGTTTTAGTATGTAAATTAGACGACGCTGGAGTCGACTTGTAATTCACGTTAATGACAGGAGTATTGCACTATCTGCTGCACTCTTATAAACTAGAATGAGTATCGAATAAATATAAATTATCGTAATTTGAGGAGATTAATTAATTAAATAGTCTCAATTTTAGAACACTGATTATTCACGCGTAGCTGATTAAAAAATCTAAAAATTGCATATCCAACTGTTACAATAAGAAGCTGCTCCATAAATGAACGCGTAAATCCTTCCACAACGTTATAAGCAAGAGCATATCCGTTCAGTACACAGCGTTGCTTTTATATGAGAACGTGCTACCCCGCCTCTTTTTAATCGACTTATGCTGTGTGGCTCGTAAAAAATCGCGTGAAAAATATGTCACGCCAGGATCAAGAATAAAAGTTAAATTTTTTGAATGGGCGTGTCAGCTTTCGTTACGTTCGTGCAAGTGCTTTCACTTTTTCGTATATCTTGTGTAACGAAAATAAAGCCAGCAATTATTATACGGGTCGCTAGAAGAATCGCGTGCAAATTTATTTGAAAAAATTCAAGTTACCCAAATATATATTACATTAGTACCTCGAATAAAATTGTCTATTAGCAAGCAGGAATACATAATCCCTTCATATAATCAGAAAATTTGGACCATAAATCACATGGGGTGAGGTAGATGACTTTTCCTTTTTGCGTGTATGCCGGTCTAAAGCAAGGCAATAGGGTGTTTCGAACTTCTCGGACTTTATATAGGGCTCGTGTGCACAAGTCTATAATTGATTTTCCACGTATTGGAAAATGTCGCTACGGCATTATTGGGTATACGCCTACTGGCACGCTCGTGTTGGGGATTATAATGCTGCACGCTCGTACTGCACGCTCTTCTACGTGCGGTGCTTTTCTTTCGTGAACATTTTATTGTTTTTCGTGTAATTTGATGGTTTTCTTGAAACCCAAAGTCAGAAAAAAATAATAAATATTTTTTACGATTATGAGACGTATATTATGAATACGGACATCTTATTAAAATCTATTATTTAGAGCTTAATTCAATTCCATGTTGATCGTTTGTAATATTTAAAAAAAATTTTGTGACGAATATAGTTAGATTCATCTACCGTAGTAAATTAAGTTATTCGAATTTAATCAGAAGCGTCAAATACTTATTTTTTAGGAAAAGTCTCTAATGATGAATATAATTACATATAATATACAAGGATTAAAAATACTAGATTAGAAAAATTTCTAATTAATTTAATGACGTATTTTTACGAGTCGTATGAATGGTTTTTATTTTTGGAAGCTTCTTTCTTAGTACATAAAGTCAACAACCATCGCAAAATTTCTAGAACATGTTCATATTGCATTACTTCGTGAATCGAGACAAAAACTGCTGCATAAATTTAGTGCCCTATATTTTCTATTTTCTTGCAGTAAATATAACTTTATTGCAAGTAAATGTATTTCAGGATATGTTTCATAAATTTAATCTGATACGTATAGAGAAAAGAACTATTCAAAAATAAAATTTACAACATTCAAGTTAATTCTTTGAAATCTCTACCAAAAACTTCATGTAGATGTATTCATGCACCGAAAAGTTTTCTGGTAAATTTTTTTTTGTTCAAGTTATCTCGAATGTTCGTGAGTAATTCAAGTATAAATACAGCAATTATTATTTTCATATAAAATTCGTTAATTTGTGTAAATTGACGTGTGAAATTTGAAGACACGTTATAAAAAGCCAATATCCTATCTAAAAATTATGTATTCACTGAGTAGGCAGTTGAGCGATGACCATGATATGACATTTTTCTCTCTGTCTCTCTCTCTCTCTCTCTCTCTCTCTCTCTCTCTCTCTCTCTCTCTCTCTCTCTCTGTCTCTCTCTCTCTCTCTGTCTCTCTCTCTGTCTCTCTCTGTCTCTGTCTCTCTCTCTCTCTTCCTCTCTCTCTCTCTCTCACTCTCTCTCTCTCTCCTATATTAAATTCTCGTCAAGGATAGAAAAAAGAGAGGGGAAAAGGCAACGTAAAAGAAATGTTAATGAGCTAAGCTTATCTCCTTGTGAAAGCGTGTCATTGATCTGCTCATAAGGTTTAGCAACCGATTCATCATATGAACGTCTTATATAAGTTGCGTTTTATCGACCAACGCATTGTGTAAGATAGCCGAATGATGATACATCTCGCTAGGGTCTTTCTTTTTTCTACTTCAACGTAGTTTTTGGTGAGTTATACTTGACACGACTTCAATAGATTTCGGATAATCTGGAAGATCAATCTGATATCAAAGCAGCATGGATGGATTACTAAGCATCCGTGTTTTCAACGAAGGCGAAAGTTTTTCTCAA